GGGACCCCTCCCCGTCCTGACGTGGTTCAGCGCCGCCGCCCCTTGACCCTTAAGCCGCTGCGCGCGGCCAAGCCCCCAAGCGGAACCCGCAAGGAGCACCCAACCGCACGCGAAGCGACAAGCCGCTAGACCCGTGTGGTGGGCCCCACGGGCCCCCACGCCCGATATTCCTGGCCAAAGTGGAGTGTTGGGACGCGCCGTGACTGACCCGCACGACGCGCCCCCTCAGCCACCAGGATCCGATCAACCCGGGGACGTGGGCGAGGGGCACGGCGACCCCGATAAAACGAGGATGAGGAGTGGTGATAGGGCCGGACGGAGAAAGGATAATGGGAAGCGGAGCGGCGGGACAAGGAGCAGGAGCTCACGTACCGGCAGGGTCGCTACGCCCTGAAAGGAACAGCTTGCGCGTCCCCCGTTACCGGAGCTGGGACCCGAGGGCGCTATCCCCTACACCGGCCGAAGCCGATGCCCCTGCGGGGGGAGTCCCGTCAAAATGAGATGCAAGGGTTCGTCACCGACTTCAATGAAACTAGTGCCTTAATGATTGCTATAAGCTCTGATGTAAACACCGAAGCGTTTGGGGGCAATGAAAACGACCGGGTGACGCCACCGCTCACAAACGCACAGCCTACACCATCAGAAGTTTTAGAGCCGTCCGTGTAAGTGTGTGTGTAACCCTCATATGCGCAATACGCTCAAGCTCTGGACCTCATTATATCTGGCAGCGAGACACCTTTTTTCATTTCAGTCAGAGATGTGTCTGTGAAGGGTGAGATCAAATGCCAGGGAGGAGTGCACAGGTGACGTGATCGCTTCACCCTTCGAATGGGAATTTCGGTTTCCCGCAGTAAGGCTTGTATCAGGGAGCCAAAGGTCACTGCATGCGGCCCGAGGTGCATTGCGAACAAACGGCACAGCAGGCCGCGGAAAGACTGCGTGATATGCGGGGTGATACGGAAACTGTCGCAGCTTCAGTGCATAACGCATGCCAAGCATTTTCCTCCTCGCTGACAACGGCGGCTCGTGCGATTCTACCAAGAGGCTTTGGGTAGGAGATTACGGAACGCCCTGTGATGGCACGTAAAGCAGTGTGATGGATGGTGTCAATGATCCGTTTCGTGGACTCACATGCGCTGTCATAATAAAACATGCATAGTCCAGCTTAGAGCGTATGATTGCCCGATACAGCAGCAAAAGCGTGCTCCGATCTCCGCCATACGACGTGCGCGAAACACATTTTAATACGTTCAAAGATTTAAAACAGCGTTCCACGTAGAGTTTTAAGATGTGCCTTATGTGTAAGTCGGGCGGTCAAAGTATACCCCAAGGTATCTAGCCACAGGCTCAGTTTGGGATGCATTGTCCATACATACGGATAGAAAGGTCACCGCATTGCCGGCTACGACAAAAATGCGATGGCTACGGTCTTGCTACGTGAAAACCTGAACCCGTTCATGGTACCCCCCTTCTCAACGCGGTCAACAGCTAACTGGAGTTGGCGTTCCATCGATGGTGGTCTTGCTGCGCTAGTCCAAATGGTAAAATCATCAACAAAAAGCGCACGACCTACAGACTGCGGAAAGCCCCATCCCGATGTCGTTGATCATAACGGCGAACAAAGCTACGCTGAGAACGCCGCCTTGGGGCACCCCATTAACTTGAACATGCCTCTCAGAGAGCGCGTCTCCAACACGGACACGGAAGAACGGTCAATTAGAAAGTTTTGAAGAAAGGTCCCCATATTGCCGCGTATACCATACCTGTGTAGCTTGAGAAGGATGCCTTGACGCCATGTGGTGTCATAGGCGCCCTCTATGTCAAAGAACACTGCGCCTATGTGTCGGCTTGCTTTAAATCCCATACGAATCGCAGTGTCAAGAACTAAAAGATTGTCAACTGTGCTGCGATTCTTTCTAAAGCCACACTGGGCGTTTGTAAAAACGCCGTGTGTTCTAAAAACCAAGTTAAACGGACATTAACCATCTTTTCCATCAACTTAGAGAGCGATGAAGTGAGAGAAATAGGTCCATAGTGTAAAGGATCCAGTCCACTTTACCCGGTTTCAAAATAGGAACGACTATAGCTTCTCGCCAAGAGGCTGGAAAGTCCCCACTGGCCCAAAGCGCATTAAATACCCGCTAATAAAACGCGAAGCCACGCGACGCGGCAAAAATGCTTGAGCAATGTCGTTGTGCACAGTGTCCGGGCCTTCTGACACGCTGCGAAGCTTGGCAATCGCCCAATCCAACTCGACTAGGGTGAATGGATCATTATAACAACGTAGCTCACTCGTTGAAAAATCCACTCCAGATTGCTCACATTGCGCTCGGTGCCGCACAAACTGTGGGTTAGTGTTGCCACCTTCGTTGCGGTAAGCCAGCGCCCGGGCAATCTCGTTCGCAACTTCCAAGGGGCGCGTCACGGCCTGTCCTTTCACACATAGTACCGGAAGAGCCATGGATGTAAAGTGCCCAGATATGCGCTTAATTCGAGACCATACCTGCGATGTTGGCGTGAACCGGTTCAACGTACTCACGTAAGCATGCCAGGACGCACGCTTCGCCTCTCTTACGGTGCGCCGAAGCAAAAGCCCTCGCTTTCTTAAAGGCTATAAGGTTTTCTGTAGTATTCCTGGCGTCAAAAGCCCGAAACGCACGTTTACGCGCCCGGATGGCGCTCCGACACTCCTCCGTCCACCACGGAACAGGAGTACGTCGGGGAGCGCCAGACGTGCGTGGGATAAAGCTGTTGGCACAATCTAAAAGTCTGTGAGTAAAAACCTCAATAGAGGGTACCGTCCTCACAGCCTCAGTTACGAACGATTCGTCGAGCCGAGTCTCAAATTCACACCAGTCGCTTTCTTAAAATTCCAGCGTTGTGGCCGAACACCCAACGCTCCACCTCTCTTAAACCGGACCCACACTGGGAAGTGGTCGCTTCCCATGGGTCATCTCCAACACTCCACTCGAGGTGTTGGACGAGCTGGGGACTGGAGAGGCTCAAGTCTAGTGCGGACGTCTGACCGGACGGCATTGTAAAATGCGTACGAGTTCCTGTGTTTAAAATACATAGTGAAGCACCGTGGACAAAATTCTCACACAGCCTCCCACGAGCATTGGTGACGTCACACCCCCATGCGGTGTGATGTGCATTAAAACCGCCGAGAAGAAGAATTGGCGGAGGCAGTTCAGCCAGCAGACACCTAAGGTGCGCCAACGGAAAAGCAATGTCTGGTGGAAGGTAAAGTGAGCAAACAGTGATGTGACGATGGTTGAAATAAAGCCGTACGGCCACAGCCTGGAGTGTGGACCGCAAGCTTAGCCTCCTCGCTGGCACGCTATGGTGAACTGCCAGGAGGACGCCACCGTGAGCAATGCTCTCCGTCAACACGTCGTTGCGAAACATCGCATATCCTTTCAGAGAGCAAAAATTGTCAGGCGCTAGCTTGGTTTCCTGCAGCGCCACGGCTGCAGGAGAGACTCTGCTGACGACAGCCTCGAGATCGAGGGCGTTCGCCCTTAATCCTCTACAGTTCCACTGTAAAAACGCCTGTAAAAGGGCGTATTAAAAAAGAGGTAAGATGTGAGAAGCTAAAACAATCCCGGCTTAAAAAAATCGGCTGCACCAGTTGCATGTCCAGACGCCTCAGACCGAGAGCTTCGGCTTAATTCCGGGGGGCCGTGCCCCACCCTAGGACGAGTCCTTGGGCTACCTCCGTCAGATGGAGATGGGGGGCCGGCTGGGGCTTTACGCCAGCGTACCCAGTCCGGGGTGGAGGCGGGGGAGGGCCCATTGGTGGGCCTCTACCGGGGTTCGAGGCACCAGCGGGGGCCTCCACCGGCTTTCGTGGCGATGGAGTGCTGGTTCGGGGGACGGGCTCTTTGTCTGCACCGGACAGGCGGCTTGCCGACTTAGCGCGTTCCAGTTCGGCCAAGCGTGCTCGCTTGGCCTCGCGGGCGCGCCTGTCAGCTTCCTGACGTTCCAGCGTCTCTGCCACACGCTCACAGGCACTAGCAAGAGGTGTCTGTGGCAAAGGGACTGATTGGGTCGCAGACAAAGGCAAGGCCGGCGGCGCGCGGGGACTCCGACCACGCCGAGCCGTCGTCCAACCGTCGCCCGCTGGTGATCCGGCGCGCGCCGAGGAGGCCAGCGGTGCGACGTCCACCGACTGCTCGATCGGCGGAGAGGGAGCTTGGGGTGCCGACTGGGAGTCGGGCGTTCGGACCGAGGGAACAACCGACAGGCCAAACGACCTCAGAAGTCCCACGAACTGAACGGGCCGTCATGTGCTCGATGGCATTACTTTGTGGGAACGAAGTTTTCACTTATGTGGTATGGCTGATATTGACACGGTCTTTCATGCTTGCCAGTCTCGTCCCGAACGGTAAACGTAAATTCCTTGGCTACCATGGCCCTGGTTGCCTCCAGACCGCTAGCGAACTCTACTTCTATTTTCCCATCCCGAAGCTTGTCACATCTTATAATTTTTCCAAACCTGTCGCAGCCGTTCCGCCTCTGAAACGGTGACAGGGAAGCCAATTTAATCTCTTCACTTCCGAAGATCAGGATCCGTGGACCGGAGGGCGCAGATTCCTCTCTGCACTCTGGGGCTATCGAGGTCCGTCCCCCTTTCGGAGGACGGGTGTTTTTAGTGTTAGAAGAAGCCATAAAAGGTGGTTTTCATTTCGGCACCGAGGCTCCCCACCCACCTCGGAGCCCAACTGGGGGACGGCCCAACACTCCCTCGGGAGGTGGTCACCGTCAGGGCTACCCCGGTGCTATACGGGGCGAACGACGCCTCCCACACGGCCAGGTGTAACCGGGGAGACCCCTCCCCGTCCTGACCGTGGTTCAGCGCCGCCGCCCCTTGACCCCTTAAGCCGCTGCGCGCGGCCAGGCGCCCCAAGCGGAGACCCGCAAGGGGCACCCAACCGCAACGCGAGTGACAAGCCGCTAGACCCGTGTGGGGCCCCACGGGCCCCCACGCCCCCGGATATTCTGGCCAAAGTGGAGTGTTGGGGCGCGCCGTGACTGGTCAGCGGAGGTCAAGTGGTCCGGAAGTGGGGTCAGCCGAAGGTTCCAGAACAATAGATCCTGTCCAGGTCGGGCGAGTACCACGCGATCATTCTGGCCTAAAGGCCGGACGAGGTGACTGGTGTCTGCGTGGCGGGCTGTGTGGCGGGGACTTGCGTGGCGTTATACTTGAATTGGTGGCCTCAAGCTGGTATAATGACTCCTAGACTAGTGTTAGTTAATATAGGTCGTGAGCTCAAGAAAATCCAGCTGAACAGTAGAATACGCTACAATTGATTATTTTAGATTTCGGGCGTTGCGACTTTTTCATTATATGACGGCCTTGTCATACGGTCGTCCTATGGTCGCAGGCCAATTGCCTTGATCAACAATTCCGATTTCAGCGCCGCTTATGGTCGAAAATCGCTACTTTTCAAAGTGGCAGCAGAACAGCGTGCATAAATTTACTGCGCATTATATTTGTCCGCTAACCTGTTATGGGCATATTCACGTACAACACTTATGTTTCAGCTGTGGACCTAGGACCTAATGACTATACGTCAGGAACTCGTCAAAAATATGGCAAAGCGTGAAATGCTTGTTACATTGACCCGCACTGCACCATTATAACGTTCTGCATTTCAACAGAGCGTGCGGTGCCAGTACCTCATTGCAATGGCTGTTACGCTGCCGACGCCGCCGCCGCACCGCCACTGCGTGCTGACGCCACAACAGCCGCAGTCTGCTTCCCACCAGCCGACCTCCGAAGCCCGGGCCGACCCCTGTCAGGACAGGGCTTCGTCAGGAGCCGACCCCTGTCCCCAGAGGCAGTCCGCCTCGCAGCTGGATTTGTCGCCTGGGAACTCTGCCGCGCCTCCGCGAGCACTGCCCGAAGGGGGTCAGAACCGCAGGTGTCGCACGAGTTTTCGTTCATCCTGACAACTGAAGAAACGGCTGGCATGTTTGATGGGTATCGAGCAAAGAAGGGCTGGCAGGACAAGCTCATCAATGCTTTCTGCCGGTCTTCGGCTGAATCAAGACACGTGTTGCCAGTGCGATACTACAATGTGAAGAAAGCACGCTTGCTTAAAAAACATTCGCCTTTCTTCACTTGTGCCGCCGAATGCCGCCTTCCAAATTGCCACAAATTTAAATTCACAATAGACAACGAACCTGACGCGGGCGGCGCGACCGCACGGTGTCAGCAATTTGACACGCCCACGCCTCCCGCAGCCTCTACCATGCTCACAGGTACCTGAGAGGAGAGAGAGACGGAATCAAGTTGCCGGCCGAGTCGAGGAGCAGGGCCCTCACGTGGCACGGCAGGAAATGGCCGGCAAAGCTCCCGCTGGCCAGTTGGAAGGCGGCAGCCTGACGGAAGCCCCACCGCCTCGTATGCTCCGCCAGGCGGCGAACGAGCGCAGAGTCGCGGAACGCTACTCGGCAGGCTGGGCGGAAGACCTGACGTGCCGCATGGAGGATTGGGCTGCAGCCGACTCTAGAAGCAAGACGCTGCAGGGTGGTATCCATCTGATCGGCAGGGTCCCCCTCGTCGTGTACATGCGTCAAGAGCACTTCTTACGAAAGCATCACGGGCACCAGGCCACCCTGCATGTCGCACTAGCCTTGCTTGATAACAGAGTCGAATCCATTCTAACACACGCTATCTTTAAGATGTCCAATCTAGGGGAACCACATTCTGTCTCGTGATATGTGAACGGTTAGCACAAATAGATGGATTAAAGGCAGCCAATGACGAGCTCTGTATCACGCTCACCTGTTGTCAGTTTGCAAATCGACGGATATGACATTATCAGTGGCTGGAGCTGTAATATCACGGGCTCTCCTTTGGTGTGGCTTTTGTGTCGAAACATGACAAAGTCTCCTGCTACTCAAATATCTTTCGACATTGATATTGTAACCGTTCGATAGTCATGACACTGCGTGTGAATCGCAACAATTGACCTGAAAGATGTCAGTGATGAGGAAATAGTCGACGGCCTCGCCGAGTTCGGGGTAACAGATGTTCGCCGCATCAAGGTGCGCAGAGGTGCGGAGTTGGTCCCCACCACCAACATCGTACTGACTTGACAGTCCTGACATACCATCTGAAGTAAGGGTATGCACACATCGACTTGATGTCATTGGTTGCTGCTGTGAAGCTGTTTCATTATCTGCGTAGTTCACAGTCTCAAATGATAGCTGCATGTGTCCAGTTGTCCTATTTAAATAAGATGTATCGGCGATGGCGAATGTAAATTACTGGAAAATTTCGTGCGACGGTAATGTGTGCTTTAAACGTTATGACACACTGGCGTGTGCGAGCGTGCGAAACATAACGTAAAACTAAACTTGCAGAGGTTGACTTTGAGAAACATCGTTTGTTAGCACCAAAACCGACCAGAAACGCGCCACTGGGATGACCGGTCGGAAAGATACGAAAAAAATGGCGTGAGTCAGCTTTGCTCGTCGTCGGTGTCAGCTATGAAGATTTTTCACCCCTGTGCGGCAGCAGCTGTGACGAAGTAGATCGGAGCCAACTGTACGTCGCCGTACAGTACGGCGTCACCAACTGTACGTCCCTAACTGTACGTCGCCGTGGTGGAGGGCGTGAGGATAGGGGACGAGCTACCCGCTCACTCATCTCCTCGCAGTGTCACGCTGTCTCGGTCCTGGTACACTTCCCATCGCAACTGATCCGCAAACGAAGACTCGCGAAACGGAGATACCGCGCTGGTCATCGCGACGCAGCCACAGACAGCCTTTCCACTTAACATGCGGCGGGAAACTGGAGAGCGGCTCAAAATCCGCACGAACTCGACACATGACAGTGATGGACATGGCCTCATGTGACCACATTGATGACCGTCTCTGACCTCCATGACCCTGTGGCGCGCTGCATGAGCTGCCGCGCGATGAGACCACTGCGAAGTGCTTCATGGAAGCAGTGAAGACTCGGGTAGGAACGATCGGCACTTATATCTCGTGACCGATGACACATCCGTGTTTGAACAGGTTCAGGAAATTATCGGACATGACACATGGTCAGCTGCTACGTATGCAGCACGGACAGGCCACTCGGTCGAATGCAAATAGAGTAAAATGGAGCCTGAAAATAGAGCTTGGTGTGTAACGCCCTCCTCGCTGTCATGAATAAACACCGCAAAGAACACGCTTCGCACGACAGACAGCCTCATGGTGTCGCTGTAGTGTAGCCCAGGCCTCCACGACTGCAATGACCACCTCCAACAATACTGCACACTTCGCACGCTGCCCTGGGTCTGTGTGCAAACATGGCGCTGGTACCCCCCCCCCCCCCCCACAAGGTACTGTTTTGTTGTTGTTCATTGGAGTTTTCGGGCGCGTCGACTCCACAAGGTGCTGAAACACACACATATATGCAAGGTAAACGCATAAAGCGAATGGATTGTGTACTACGGTGCGCTGTTGAATGCGACGCCGGACAAGGTGAGGTGCGCTGTTTAATGCGACGTCGGGCAATGTAAGGTGCGCCCTTGAATGCCACACCGGACAAATCCAGGACGCGCACGAGGAGTCAAACGAGGACGGTCAGCTACAGCCACCAAGTATTTTTCCGCGCCATACACGGCGCTGGTGCCATAGCGGCGCTTGACTCGCTCGGGCTGATATTCGAATGGCACAGCGCGCGTTCCTCATGCGGGCTGCTGTGTCAGCCACAGGAGGCTAAACACGACGCACATACAAGCACACACGCAAACATGACGCCAGGCGCTTGAAACTTTTCAGCACCGTCCGCTCCGCGCAACCTTGCAAACGTTCCATCACCATCATCATCACGTCATCATCTTGTGAGCGAAAGCAAGCAATTCAGCAACCCACCAAGCCGTCCGGATTCAGTCCTGTATGGTAAGTTCCCGGAAAAGCACGACAGAAGATCCAGCTTAGCACAGACGAGTCGAAAATCTCGGGGAGTTGAGCAATCGCACGGAGATCCACGCAACAGAAAAGAAACAGCAAACGGCATAATCTTCCTGAATAGTTACGGCCATGACGAACGGTTGCAGCCATGATGACCAATCATATTCATCCAGTCATGACGGAGCCATAGCGAGAAAGCAAAAACGACCAGCTGGTGCGCGACACGCAGACAAGGATGGCCATCACAAAACACTGACTTCCAGCCAGTATTGTTCTCCAGGTACGATGACGCAGTACCCATCAGCTCTCTAGCATCGCTGGGGATGGCCAGATGTACAGCAATGCTGGAGATGGCCAGATGTACAGCAGTGCCAGATATGGCCAGATGTACAGCAGAAGCGGCGTGTCCGCTCGACTGCTAGAGGTTACGAACAGTGGGGCAAACTGCTAATGCGTGAAGTGCGCTCGGTCTCTCATGTGCTCACCCCGACCCATGGGGACGGACACAACGTCTCGCTACGCCGTTGGTTCAGTGCGATCCCTGGACGTCATCACCAAATCATTTTCGTGCGGAAGCGGACTGGAGAGGGCGCTAGAAGTCGTCGGCTGCCGCATTTTAAGGCAAAACTGTGATTCGATGCCGACTTTGGTCCTTATTCCGAAGACGTACCGCATACGCTTTTCTGCCAGATTTCAGGCTATGGCACGCCTTCCACGCACTGGGCATCACTGTGGTGATGGTATCTCTCTGCAGCCTCCAGGACCGTGCCGACCCCACCGTCTGGCCTGCCTTCGACGGACTCGGCATCACTGTGGTGATGGTATTTCTCTACAGCCTCCAGGACCGAGCCGGTTGCCACCCAATCCTACCCAATGCGAAAAGCACTGGAACCAGTGGTTAAGCAAACCGTTTAACGTAGAGCATAGGGTAACCAGTAGTGCTAATCGAAAAACCCGATAAAAGTATGCGCCTATGCACGGGATACAAAAATCCTACTCATAAAAATTACGATGGGCTGACGGCAAAAACTGGGGAGTATCAGTTCAAACTGGTTGATCAGCGCTCATTTGGCGGCAGTATTCCATTCAGTACCAGTGAGTGAGGAAGACAAACACAAAATAGCATTCGTGTTGTCCTGGGGCTGTTGGCAGTTGGAGGTCATTGCACCAGCAATAGCATTCATTATCGAATACAATTGCTCGCCTGGGCCAGGACATCTTCAGGGAGTCAGTAGCCGATCAAGGGCTGGCGTTGTTCATTGACGATCTTCGCACGTATAAGCATGGGTATCCCGCAATATCTTCAGTCACCCGCTTCATCCTAGCTCTGCGGCTCCCATGAAGTGTGCGTTGATCACAGGTGTACCTGAGTCACAACGTGTGAAGGGAACCTTCATCTGGTGCGCGGCCGAAGCGGCGAAGTGGGCGCAAGGGGCGAGGAACAGCGGAAGCAGAAACGTTTTTGGCGATAGCAGTGTCGGGGAGGGAAAAACGGCGGGGGGGGGGCGCGTAGCTTGGAGGGCAGGGTACCGAGCTGTGTACGCTGTTGAGGCCAGCAGGAGTGACGTGCTGCGTGGCTCAAATACATAACTTTTTTTAGATCCGCTAGCTGCTTCTTACACAACGCACCACGTCGTGCGTTAACATCATCTGACTCGCATACTGACCAATGGGCTCCTCAGTATAAACTCGCTCTCGTGGGGAGGCGTGACAGCGGCAGGCTGAGAGGCTGACGTATCTGCAGGCACACCTGACCGGGCCGGTAACAGAGGCGGTGCGCGGAATGCTCTGTGACGCCAGCCTCCACGGCGCAGCCTGATTTCTGGTTCCGCTTCCAGCGTGAGCTGGAAGCGGAATCAGGAATCAAATCAGGAATTCCGCTTCCAGCGTGAGCTGGAAGCGGAATTTGGCGACATAGCGCGTGTGATACACGCAACTATGAAAAAAATTATCTCGGCACGACCGGTCAGAGATGGCAAACCATCTGCTCTGACCGAAATGTCACGAGACATGCGCAGTGCCTCAGTCCAGCCTGTGGTCAGGGGCGACAAAACGCACGTTATCCGAGAGCTCAAACCACGCCTGCTCTGACTGTATCGAATCATTCAATGGACTGTTCAGTCGAGAAAAACAGCTGGCCTCATTTCACCGATCTCGACATTCCGATTACGACCCGCGGCCCAGTGGGAGTGCTGCTGGGCACAGACATGCTCGAACTGATCGTGCCACGGGAGGTAGTAGAAGGGCCGCCAGGGACGCCGAGCGCGATAAGGACTCCGCTCGGCTGGACTGTGACTGGCCACACGCCGTGGCGGTCGATGTATGCACCAGGTGATAAGCGTGTGCACCACGTCCAAGTCAGTGACGAAAGGAGTGCTCTTCTGGACCTTCAAAACCAGGTTAAGCATTTCTGGACGACAGAGGCCTTCGGCACAAAGTACGAGAAAGCACAGCTGCACTCAGAAGCGGACCAAAGAGCGATGTCCATCCCGGACAGCACCACTAAACGGGCCGGCGATCGGTACGAAGCCGGTCTCCTGTGGCGTTAAGACGGTGTGCAACTTCCAGACAACCGTGAGGCAGCCGCTACCCGTCTGA